CACTGCGAGGTGGCTGTGCAATTAATGCATGTGTAAGTCAAGACAGGTCAGGTGATTTTACAGCCTAGGTGAAATCCCAGCCCTTCGGGCTAGAATAAAACATGACATCGTTTTATTCTGCTTCAAGAAAATGGGATGTGTGTCAATACAAATAAAGTCTACTGTTAGCACAATCTTTAAACTATTAGAATTTTGTCCTATAACCGGGAGCAACTGGGGGAAATACAGGCTGATTTTTGTCACAAAAACATTATCTCAAAATAATGTTTTTTTTTATTTGAGTTTGTAGTACTGTTCAGTCTAAAAAGAATCAAATTGTTTTGAAAGGGTTACAAAGCAGTGTTCCACCTTCCACTGGAGGAGGGGCTAGGGAAAAGACGTGGTTATGATGGTAAGACACTGCATTACATAAAAAGAACTATTTTTTGGTCACTCATCATGAAGCAGGAGACAATGCAACAAAATTCACCCCGAGTTGGAAAAACAGAAAGTTATTCTGAGGCAGCACAGAACCAAATAAAGCACAAACTCTGCTTTAGAGGTAGTGAAGGATGATTGTACACCGAGTGTTACTACTCCCTTGCAGGCCCAGCAGAGGCAGCAAGGGAGAAGCATTGCGACTTCCAAGGGAAGGTGATGGGGAAGAGGGATTCTGCGTTTGGGCTTCTGCATCCTTCCCGCTAATAAGATGATGTCAGTCATTTTATTAAATAAATGCTGACTCAACAGTGTTGCAGTTTTAGGATACAGGTTGTTTGTACCTGTGGGATAGATAGTGAAGAAGTTTTGCTCTACCTCATGCTCCCGATAAAAGGGAATTAAATTCAAAGTACAGTGGGAATACACCTGCGTGTGGCAGGGTAAGAGATCCTCTACACAGACATGGGGAGCACCATAAATGAGGGAGCTGGCAGCTACTCATGATTACTAGGTGACCAATATTCAGTCTGAAGTGAGAGAAGCCCACCTTTCCTTCCCAGGAGCTCAGCGAGGCAGGGCACTGGAGGTTAACATGCCAAAACCAGTGGGAGGCTGTGAATGCCTGACTCCCAACCCTCAGCAGTTCCCCTCTGAAGGCACACCTGAACCTGGCTGCCCTCCATACCTTTGGCTTCACACTTCTCAGCTCCATCAGATTCCTACTTACCTTCCAGGCATCGCTCTTCTTACTTCTAGTTTCTGGCTTTTCAGTGCTGTCCCCCGTTCTGGGTACTCCTGGGTGCATCTCAAATCCCTGCAACTACAGTATCAACACTTGCGTGGTGACTCGTGTTCTGCCTCGCTTTTTCTCCTCCAGTCTTCTTCATCAGGCTGGCTAATTACAGAAGCTGAGCCTCTTGATTTCCAAACCTCTGAACTGCATGTGATTATTTCTTTCAAGAATGTCTTAGAAGTGTGTGGAAAATAAGATGCCTTTTTTTTTTTTTTTAACTTAAAGCCGAGATTTCAACGTAATTAAAGAACTTGAGAAGCCATTTTCAGAAAAGCTTCCTATAAGATAGTCTTTATTCTTACCTCTACTCACAGCCACCACACACTTTCTTTCCCACTACCTTCTCCTTTCTTTTTCCCATTCCCTAGGAACCTGACACAGGGTGTTTGTGGAAACGTATGTAAAGAAATTGTAAAACGCTGCAAAAATGGCTGTGAAACGTCACTGGACCACCAAGGAACAAGGGGCAACGAGACAGCATAACAGGACATCGTGGGACCGGGACTGGGTGGAGGAATGGGAGAGACACAACACGAGGAGCCACAACAGAGCTGAACAGCTGAGACCACCCCGAACAGCATCGTTTGCTCTCTGGGATTTTTCTGGCCAGATCAGCTCCTTGCTCTGCTTTGTTGTGTAGCAGAAACAAATGGCTAGGAACAGGAGAGTCAAGGGTCTACAGCCAGAAATAAACACAGATGCTGAAGAAGAGCAAACCCCAAGAACAACCTTTTTCCAATCTCAAGGCAAGAGTCACTTCTTGTCCCAGGTGCGCGCCTGGTGCTCTGACATGACCTTCTTTACCTCCTACCACTGCTACTCCCGTAAACATTGAAGCTACAGCTCCCTACTCGTGAACAACTTGCAACAGGAAAGCCAAAAGACTTGAAAATTCCTTTGACTTAAATTCTGTTCATTTCGGTAGCACCTATTAAATTTCCACAGAAACTAGGCTAAGAGAAGTATGAAATCTTGACTGGTTTCCTATGCACAGATTTTAAGAAAAAAAGTCTCTGCAGCATGAACACATAGTATGCATTCAGTGCACAGTACTGAATTTGATCACACTGTGCCAGGGATGCATTTATGAATAATGCAAAGAATAAAATTTAAAAAAAAGGGCAAAAAACCCAAGGTGTAGGATATTCTTGCACTGTTCGTTATCTCACTGAAATTATCTCTGGTGCAATCATTTACTTTCTAGCTTCAAAAGAGGTTGTTTTAACCAGAGGGATGAAATACAGCCAGAATAGTTAGGATTTTTCACCAGGAGAGGAAAGCTGAGGGCTAGTGACTGAGGACGGAGCATATCGGGACATCTGGAGTCACGCCACGGGTGCAAGGACCGGTTCAAACAGTCGCCACTCACTAAACTCTCCCGGATTAACAGGGCTCCTGTGCACGTGTAGGAGCAGAAAGGTGCTTGTGATAAGGTTTTTGTCAAAACCAGGGGGTATCCACGGCCAACCAGGTCCACGTGCTTGTTGCTTAAGCGTCAGCCATTGTTAATTAGGTACGTGATCCCTCTTGTGAGCCTGGGAGCAAACCCCAAGCAGCATCAAAGGCTTTTTGTGCTGACTGCAACAAAAATAGCAGTGAATAAAAATGGTTCCTTCCCCAGGTGGCTCACAGTTTCATAAAAAACTCCAAGCAAGTTGGAAGGGAAGGGTGTGAAAGCTGAGATGACAGCTGGTCACGCAAACATCTGCCATTGGGGCTTTTAAAGCCAACAAAAATCAGCTGCTCTATTCCAGTTTATCTACATTAGTTTTATTTCACTTGACAGGTCTCAAAACAAATAGGTGAAGGAGGGGATTGTCCTCTTCCTCCTCCTCGGATGTTTCTAGGGGGCTACCCCAAGAATCTGTCCAGGTCTCGGTGCTTTTCAGGTACTGTTTCTTGCAATTCACTGTTGGTAAATTTTGAAACAAGCGGTCATACTAATAACTTCGATTGAAGCTGGTAACTTGGTATGGGGAACTCACTTAAGCCGCATGGTTTAACATGCCTCAGCACACCGTTAGGAACAAAGACTGCTGGTTATCTGCCCGGGCTCCAGGTTTTCCCCAGCGTCACTCCCGTCCCGAACGCCACGCGCCCCGGGGCACGCACGAGCGGTGGAGCAGACCCCCACGCAGAATGTCAGGCAGAAAGGGCACGAGGGCGTGCTCCCCCCGCCGACGGCGTTAGCGAGGCCGTTACTGAAAGGCTGCATCCAATTTCCACTGTCATGCTTCAGAACGGATGCTCACCGCAAAATTTTATATCCCACTCAGAAACTTACGCCGTAGTGGTAATAGCTGTAGAGGTAATCCCAGTCCATCTACTTAGGAGAAAATTAAGGGGCGACTTGACTCAAAACTACAGCTGATAAGAGAGGTCCTTGACCTAAAAAGTGAAGACGTTAAAACATCACTGGTTGGGATCTGAGGTAGACTACTTCAACTGATGAATTTCTGGAACGATTTACTTACTGACATAGTGGCTTCTCCAACACTAAATTCTACGTGAAGATGAATCTTCTTCTCAAAGCCAAGGTATAGCCCCAAGAAATATTATGAAGCAGAACTTACTGTCATGTAAATGATCACACCAGATAATCCTTTTTAGTCTTAATACCTATGAAATACTATTATTTCCATTCTAAATTAACTATATTCTTCCGGGCATCATCAGGTCCGTCATGAAACTCGGATCCCAAGGCAAGATGCGGATACAGCAAAGCAGCAAGTATGCAAATATTAAAACGATAATTTAGCCCGCCAAACCTCTACAGCAGGAGAAATGCACAAGTAACAAAAAAAAAAAAAAAAAAAAAAAAAAAAGAAAGAATAAAACACCAAAGCAAAGACTTTAATCTTCATCCCTGCAAACACAGCCAGACCACCCCTGTACCCGTATACAAGCTGAAAGGAGAGAGAAGAGATACATGGGGACACACACAAGACCATTTATTTAGAAAGTTCTATTTCATTGTAAATCAACTTTTCCTTACCCTGGCACTAGAACTTTAAGACTGAGTAGGTACGGCACTTCAGTTCTCAGCCAGACTGCTAATGGATCATTTTTCTACCATAAAGCTCTGGTAAAATTTGGTAAAATTCTACCTGCAACTTCCCTTTAATTTGGGCAGAGGGCAAAAGTTGAAATAATAGGCACAGATCCAAGTCCCTTTATGGTGAAGAAGCTTCTAACAGCTGAGGCACTTCGGTCTAGGAGATTCTTCTTCCACTGCACAGTTAGCTCACAACAACTGCAGAAATAGCATGACCCAACAAAAAAGGTTTGCTGCTCTGTTTTTTTTTTTTTTTTAATCCCCTCCTCTCAGGGAGAAGGCATAATATAAAAACAAGTGTTTGTGTTTTTTAAGTGTTTTGTATATTTTAACTGAGTAACTTAAATACCTAAGGCATTTTATTCATCACACGTTGGTTTTTTTTAACTCATTCTGCATTTAAGCTGTTATTCCACGGAAATCTGAGTTTTCCTGGTAGGACTGAAAATGCCAACGTGTACAAGAGCTTCCTCTGAGCTATTGACAAAAGAATTTGCATTTCCCTGTCCAACAATTTGAAACTACTTTCTGATTAAAATATTCTTCAGAAGCTTTGCTCATTTCAATTTTAAAAGATCCCTGAGATAATGGGCACTTGTTTTTGTTTGTTTGCTTTTTTTTGTTTGTTGTTTTGTTTTGGTTTTTTTGGTTTTTTTTTTTTTTTTTTTTCTGAGACTGCACTAAAATATTTGGCCACAACCAGTATAAGCATCACTAATGCAAACAGCAAGCTTGTTATTACAAAATGTTTTATTATGTCCATCTGGGTAAAACCCCCTTTCCTGTTGCTGGTGGCCGTCCATCGCCTCACACCTCTGTCACACGGCAGAGCCAGCTGTGGCTGAGGACTCTTCCCTTTCTGGCTCTGACGGGGCGTCTGTCGGGCTCCGCTGTCCCTGAGCCCCAGATTTCACAGCGTGCACTGCATAGTTAACGCTCGTGCTTTCCATCCAGCTCCATGACCCCGAGAGGGGATTATACAACATCCCATTCACAGTCTTGACCGAAAAGCCATCTAGAAAAGAAAGCAGCCATAAACCCGCGGGTGTTCTTAAATAGGGTAAGACACTGCGACACCAAACCTTTTAGAACAGCAAGTCTGAGATACTCTTCTTCCTCCAAGCTGGGGAGCACTGCTTCACAAACGGCCTTTGTCAGACACCGCCGCAAGCAGTGGCACCTCTGGTGACAGTGGGTCCTGCTACTGGCAGCAGCAGCTCTGTGCCAGGCCACGTACCATCAGCGCGCTAACCTGGTGAGCCAGGGCGAGGTGGGATGCTAGAAACCCCAACTTCGCACCCGGGTGACCACTGGTAACGTTTTCTGCAGGTGGAGGCATTCGTCAGATTGACATCTGTCCTGGTTTGGGCTGACACAGAGTACATATTCCTTTTCAGGGACCAGGGGAGTGCTGCGTTTTGGATTTAGCTTTGGGTTTGGCATGAGAAGAACGCTGGTCAGATTGCCATCGCGCACTTCAAAATGAAAATCTAAACGTATCTTTGGAAGGGTTCTGCAGGTTCCCCTTAGGAATGAAAAACGCAAGGCCGAGGCGGAAGAACGCCATCAAGGACACGAGGAGTGATTTAGCACTCCCTGCTGAGCAGCTCTCGGTTCCCTGCATGGCTCTGCTGTGTCCCAGCAGGACACACGAGGAAAGGCAAGAAAACAAATTATCAAAACAAAAATCACTCCACTGCACCTGCTTCTCCTCTTGATGGGAGAACAGACAGAACCACCAGCATGTGAACTCGGTATTAGTCACGTTCCTTGCGGCATCGCTGCAAAGTGCCAGGAAAAGACCTTGCCAAGAGAACAGCTCAGCTCATGCTTCAGCTTCTTTACAACAAACTAAAGCAAAGCGAAATATCCAGTGAGAAGGTTTTAAAACACCTGCAGGGAAGAAGGGCAATGGGCAGAACTCTTCCCATCTCAGTGCTTCATCTATTTGAAAAGCAGCCAAACCAGGGCAACTGAATTATTTCTTCAAATCAGTAACATACAGTTTCTCAAGAACTAATGGACTTGTGGTAGGTTTCATCTTCACAAAGAAATCTTTTAGTAGCATAAGAGGAACGAAGAACATGGAGCAGCAACCAAAAATAAAAACACCTTCTCCCAAGGGGAAGATGACAAAGAATGCAGTGGCCAATACAGTTATTTTCTCAAGCCTAACCTACAGCGTATGAACCACTTCAGAGCGTACATTCTGTCACCAGAACAGCAGGGAAAACTTTGGGATTTTTATTTAGGCTATCAAGCGGAGGGCAGCTGTCGCAGTGATTGTGCCTGAGTAACCTCTGCATTCTGAGGACGCTACTTTATTTATTTTATGCAAAATCCAGTAAGCAGTCATGTCTTTAAACCAGAAAGGATACTCGTAATATATGACTGGTAACGCACCCAGGAAAAGCTGTGTACTGTTGCTAGCACTCACCCCACCCACCTCATCCCCTTGCCATTTCCACAGGGACCGCCTGGGTATTTCTCTGCGCTCCCATCGTCTGGCCTGGAACTTACTTGATTCCAGGAGGCGCTCCAGCTCTTCAGGGGGAACAAACTTCTCCCACTCGTGTGTTCCTTCTGGTACAATGCCCATTATTTTTTCTGCAACCACAATTCCCAGGACATAGGACAACTGTGTTTTATTGATTGTAGTAATGAATAAAGAACCTTCAGGCTAATGAAAATATTTAAATGTTCAATTAGAAGAGTATTTAATTTTTTAAAAAAGTTGTGAATTTAAGCACGTTAATACACATAATTTGTCTATCTACAAGTCTACATGCTGAGAGAGTAAGAACTAAGTTCATCCCAGGATAGGTATTTACATGTATACCATTTAAATTCAATAAAGACTATAACATTCTAACAGTATGACTCAATCCTCAAAGAGTCAACATAATCAGTCTTGGGTGGTCTGAAAACCATTTCCCTGCCTCAAAAAATATCTAACAAGGTTACTTATAACGTCACATTGCCCAGGAAAAATGATCAAATAAAAGGTATTGGGGTATATGCAATATCTATTTTGAAAAGAAACACTTTTTAAAATTAAAACCAAAATAAAATGTGCAATACTGACTAATTTTTGAGGCTGTTGAATGCTGTGCTTGTTTTAATGACTACAAGGTCAAAAAACAAAACCAGAAATTAATTCTAAGTACTTAAGATACTGGTAGAAATAAAGGGTAATTTCTATGGCCCCAGCAGGCTGAAAATTAGTTAAGTGTTCCGTTCAAATAACCTATATTCCTTCTGATGACCAGAAAGATAAATCAAGAGATTAAAGGAAAGCTGCTGCTTGTGTACTGGGCCTACCATCCTTCTTTACAAATGAAATAATATCAAGAAGGATAAAACAACTCCTAGTTATCTCCAAGCGTAACTATGACCCTTGAAAAGCAACCGAGGAGCACGTGTGATGTGATGCTAGAGCTGGAATAGAATCTTGTGAGTCAGAAACATCATTACAGTCAATTTCAGAGCAGTCTGAGCCACAGTTGTCCATCAACAACAGCACTGCCATGTTTTCTCTCACATGGGTGAAATCAGATGCAACCAGATTTCATAAGGTCTTGATGCAAAGCAACACTGCGATGCCAGGTGATGCCATTAATACTTTTCTAAGGCAGGGTTGGGGAAATAAATTTCCTCCAACTTTAGTTATTGAAGTTGGGAAGATGTACTGGCATCATGGAGGAGAGGAGAATGGAAGGCACCTTTAGAGCACAGTTCAGACATCAGGGTAGAGAAATGAATGCAGATGTAGGTGCTTTCACATTCCTTCAACTTAAAGGCTTACTAATACGGGAGAATAAATATTCCCAATAATGAAAGCAAAAACTCTCTTACCTTTAACACCCGAGAGCAACACTTGATAAACATTTCAAGGTCAGCCACATGCTCCACTACTTCAGAAGCTACAATTACATCAAAGGTTTCCATAGACTCTTCCACAATCTCCTCCAGTGAACTGGACTTGTACCGTATTCTCTTGGCCAGGACCGGATCAAATGACTTGTGCTGATCTGCTGTTCTAATGTTGTCCTCCAGAGGATCAATTCCAGTAACTGAAGCTCCCAGTCTACCTAAAGGCTAATAATACAGAGTATAATTTATTCTCTGCATGAAAACAATTTACTTAAAGGTGTCTGCAACTTTACAAGGTACATACACGATGCAGAAAACATCCATCAGAGAACAAGACAAGCAATGGTAAGTGATAAGCGCTGACCCGTCAGTTTTATTTTAAATGTTTATTAAAGCAAGAAAACCCTTGGATTTGCGGGAGGTGGTATTAATTTTCTTAGACAATTATATACTGGAAGATACACATTTAAATTGTCTTTTAGGACAAACTGTTCTGAATCCATTTTGTTACACCAATTAAAGATGTCCTCCACTATTACCCTCTCACAGAGAAGAAACAAAAGGGGGAAAAATCAACACAGTACTTAGAGGGGGGGGGAAAACAATGCCGTATTTAATTACTGTCATTACTTTCTTCAACATCCACCTGTAATGGTAAATCCTCATATCTTTTTAATGGTTATTTAATATATGATTATCTCTGGGAAATTCTCACTGCTGAGAACTAAACACTGATGTTTACTAGGATAGCATCAGGCTTGGCTGTCACTCAAGTTTCTCCAGTGTCTCCTTACTCATAGGTTAACACCTCAGCCATCACCTCTTTTGAAACCGAAACAGGCTGCAGAACATGACCACGTGTATGTTATTCCAACCTGAAATTCACCGGTTGTTCAGCCTGAGAAGGTGATGCAGCACACCGGTTTTGCCAGCCTGACCGGAGAGCAAGCTCTCACAAGACTAGAGGAGTTCGCACAGAATAAAAGAAAAACAAAACAAAAACAACACTGGGAGAGATTGAGGTCCCTCTGTAACACTTCATTTCAGATGCTGACGAAGCTCTCCCAGTGAGTCAGCCAGATCTGTAAACCTAAATTCCCAAACCATCCCTAGTCTATCGATAGGATACAGCACTGTCCAGAGCCTCCAGGGCCAAAGGGTCCCACCACGAACGGTTCCTTCTCAGGCCCAAGTTTGTGCAGGCTCTTGGGAAGCAGCTGTAACGTCAGCCCCACGCCAGGAGAATCTCTCCTGACAGAGGGGAGGTACGTACGTACGTCTCAGGTGTTTGACATTATTCCATGCTTTTCCCAGGAGATCAAAGCAAAGCAAAAATCTCCACTCCCCGATATAAAAAACTGAAGATAAGAAATTCAAAGAAATGCATGTGTAAGAACAAGTTTATAATAGAAAATATGGTAACGAGGACTGTCATGACTGAAGCGTTCTTGCCTAGGCTTGTAAATGAAAAAAAAAAAAAAAAAAAAAAAAGTTGACATACTGTAACTGTCCAGAGGAATACTCAGACTTTTTACACATCTTCTCCTCTCCTTTTCTTTACAGTGTTTGAGGTCTCATTTTTCTGATGATCCTCAGAATTTTAGAATTACTTATTACCAAGTCCCTCCTCGTCTACAAACCACCAGCACTATGCTAATCAAATATTCTATTGGGTTTGTAGAACATGCTGCCTTCCAAAACGTTCAGTAACTAATATATCCTAGAAGATAAAAGCTCCTCCTTGGAGGATTAGAAATTAAGCAGTGTAACAGTAAAACAATTCAAATACTTTGTATGCTTTTTAACCAGAGAAACCAGAGCATACTGTTTCTTACCTCACTTAGCAGTCCACCGCCACAGCCAACGTCGAGAATCTTTATTCCAGAAAGTGGATTTCCCACATGATAATTACTACTCATGTTCAACAGAGTATCTCTGAAAGACAAGGGGTGCGATTGAGGGCAAACACACAAGGTGATTCAGTACATGCAATATGCAGTTATCTTAAGTACTGGTAATTTTTTTTTCTTTTACGATGTTTTCTGAGGTTATGCAGAAATAGTACATTTAAAAAAAAAAAAGTCTTCAAAACCATACCTAATAAAGGGCACTCTAATATCATTCATAGAATGAAGGGCTGAATATTCTCCTTCTTCATCCCACCACTTATGTGCAAGGCGCCTGAATTTTTTCATTTCCTCTGAATCCACCGATGAGTGTGAGGTGCTGAGAAGTCTCTTCACAGTGAGCCTAAATAACGAAAGCTAAATGTCACAAAACTTAATACCAATACTTCATGTCAGCTGAAATATGGGAAAATCAAATTCTTCATCAGAAAAAAATGATAAAACTAATATTCCTTTAAAGACTGTAGTTATACTTAACTAATAACAAAGTTTTTACGTACTGTATGTGTAACCTATCTTCCAAAACGGATGGCTGCATACCTGTAATTTTTAAGTCAGTAATTAATAAAACAAAAATAGGCCACATCGAACGTTTAAACATTTGTGAGATTTAAAAATTACTTCATGTGACACTGTCACAAAGTAAAGTGAAATTGTTACGGAAAACACTAGTCCTTGTAACGCAGGATTATTTTAGACACAATACTTACATGCTGCTTATTATTTCAGTCTTAGGCAGAGTACTACTGGATTTCAGCTGTATTTTCCAGTGGTAGTTCTGGGGGGTAACTCTCAGGCCTGTCTGAAAAGACAGGTCAGCATGGTCATCTGCATAAATAAAAGAGAGGCAACCGAATGGAAAACATCAGCTTTACGAGAGCTCGCGGGCAAAAACCTAGTTTAACACTGCTGCTCTGGAACAGCAATACTAACCATGCAAATCTTTACACATTTGCTCACTGAAGTACTTAAGCCGTGCATGGGGCTTAAATGAGAGCATATGCTAGTTCACCGCCCCAGTGCTTCTCAAATCACGCACGACGACGCTTTTCAGAGCTCGAACGAAAGGGAACTTTTCACACGGCCGAAATGTTTCAGTTCGGGAGAATTTCACCAAAACGTTTACTCCGGCCCCGAGTTGCGCATACACGGGCGTGCTTACAGTTACCAGCACTGGGCTCCCACCTGTGCCTCCCTCCGTACCGGGGCACGAAACACCCCAGCCGGCACGCTCGGTTTTCGCACCGCGCCAACGGGCGAGGCAACGCAGGCGAGAAAAACCACCGGCCGAGGGCACCGCCTCGGAAGCCCTGCCCCGCGCCTGCTCGGCCGGCTGCTGCCCGCTCCCCCGCGGCCCCCACACCGCAGCAGCCGACCCCCAACCACCCCCCCCCACCTCCCCGGATGATTTTAGGCCGCGGGGAGCTCCGCGGGTCTCTCCCCGGGGGGGGCGGAGGGCCGGGGCGCGCAGCCGCCAGCGCTCACGGCTCCGCCGCGGGGGAGCCCAGCGGCCCGCAGGCCGCTCCCGCCGGGCTCTCGCCGCCCGAAGGAAGCGGCGGGCGGGAGCCCGTGTCGGGGGGTGCCGGGGCGGGGCGGGCCGGCCAGGCCCCGCCGCCCGCGGGCACCGCGCCGGGGCCGGGGCCCTCCCACCCGCGCCCTCCGCCCGCTCACCGCCCGCCGCCCGCCGCCGCCCGAGGGCGCGGGTGAGGGCCCGGGCCCGGGCCGCCCCGCCGCCGCCCCACATCGCCGCGCTCATCCCGCTCCGCTGCCAGCACCGGGCGTGCGGCGGCCAGGCGGTGCCGGCTGCCTCTCGGGGCGGCGCCGGGAAAGTTCCGCCCGGAGACGGGGCCCGGGCCCGGGCCGGCCCTCGGCCCCCCGCTGCGACCGCCGCCGCGGGTTTATAACATTTTATAACATTTTATAACATTATAACCGCGCCACTTTTTATAACATTTATTAAATTTTAATGAGTATTTATTTTACAGAATGCAAGGGAAGCAAAACAAAACGCTGGACAGACCGTTACCAGCACTTATTCATAGAGCCATAGTCTGGGTTGGGTTGGGAGGGACCTGAAAGATCCTCTAGTTCCACCCCCCTGCCCCGGGCAGGGCCCCCTTCCCCCAGCCCAGGGGGCTCCCAGCCCCGTCCAGCCTGGCCTTGAACCCTTCCAGGGAGGGGGCAGCCACAGCTGCTCTGGGCACCCTGGGCCAGCGCCTCACCGCCCTCATAGTGAATAATTTCTTTTTTATATCTAATCTAAATCTACCCTCTTTCAGTTTAAAAATGTTACCCCTTGTTCCCTGAGAAAGAGTCCCTCCCCATCTTTCCTGTAGCCCCCTTTAGGTACTGGGAGGTTGCTATAAGGTTTCCCTGGAGCCTTCTCTTCTCCAGGCTGAACACCCCCAGCTCTCCCAGCCTGTCCCCATAAGGGGGGTGCTCCAGCCCCCCGAGCATCTTCATGACCCTCGTCTGGACCTGCTCAAGCAACTTACGCTGGGGGCCCCCGAGCTGGACCCATCACTGCAGGTGGGGTCTCCCGAGAGCAGAGCAGAGGGGCAGAATCCCCTCCCTCGCCCCGCTGGCCACCCTGCTCTTGATGCAGCCCAGGACACGGGTGGCTTTCTGGGCTGCGAGCGCACATGGCTGGCTCACAGTTACTCCATCCACCCAAACCCCCAAGGCCTCCTCCGCAGGGCCGCTCTCAACCCACTCTGTATTGCCCACGCTGCGTTCGTGCTTGGGATTGCCCCACGTGCAGGACCTTACACTTGGCCTTGTTGAACTTCATGAGGTTTGCATGGGCGCACCTCTCAAGCCTGCCAAGACCCCTGTGAATGGCATCCCTTCCTCCAGTCTTGTATTTGAGCTTGGGGGTTTTTTTAATTAAAAAAAAAAAAAAAAATCCAGCTTAAGATGCAGTACAACAAGCAAGAAAAAATGCTTTATTTACCTTTCCCTCCACAACAGTAAAGCACTTCATTGTCCTAATGCACTTTGCATTGCAGCACTACTGATACAGCAGGGTTGGTGCCCTTTCTGTCTGCAAGACCCAGCCTGTACAAATGCCAACCAGTATTGTCCCGGGGTGCATCGTGGCAAGCTGGCATCACCCGGAAGCTCTGCTGAAAATTAACAGGTGACTTCATTTAAATTTATGCCCCCTTCCTCCTGTATGTGGACCCGATCCTTGCGTGTCTGCGAACATGAAAACACCCCTTCCGCGGAGGCCTGTTCGGATGACGCAGTGATTAGCTATCAGGGAGCAGAGCTCTTGGGGCCCCCGGCACGGCCGGGCTCGAGACGAACCCCCGAGCGCTTCCTTTTGGGAACCATCCACGCTGGTTTGCCGCTGCCTGGTGCAGAGGCTGCCCTGTCACGGCCCGCAGGCCGAGCCCCGGCTGCGGCCCGGGAGGGACGAGGCCGCCTTCCCCGCCCCGCTGCTGCCCAGGGCCCTGGACTCGCCAGTCTGAACCCACACAGCGCTGCGAGCAGCTCCGAGCCGACAGACGCAGGAGCTCCGCTTCCCCCTCGGCGGGCTTGGGCGTTTTCAGATCCCCGCGGTCAGCCAGTTTAACACGCTTGAACAGTAAAGAGCTAAGTGTTTTTAAAAATAACCGTTTTCAGACGCTTGACGGAGCTGCAGGTCTCGGGAGAAAGTCCCCCGAAAACCAAAGCTGTTGGGAGGGGAGAGGTGAGGCACAAGGCAGGGGCAAGCCGTGAAGGCGGCGGCCAGCAGCGCTGCCGGGATTTCGTGCTGGCATCCGCGGGCGGGGGGCACGGCCGGCCCGGAGCTGGGCGGGAGGGTTGGAGCGGCACGACCAGCCACGGCCTGACTCGCTCTTCCCTCGCTCTAACGCCAGTCTCATTTTATTCACCAACCTCGCGCGGCGTTGCGACCCTCACTGCTTAAAACCTGCCCGCTTACAGATCTCCTGTAAATATAATTCACCTAGCAGTTCAAGCTTGGATTATTTTTTTTTTTTTTTTTTTTTTTTGCCTTAAAGCTAAATAAGCTCTACTGAAAGGTCTCAAGAAAGCTTGTCCCGGCGGCAACTCAGCATCAGGCAAACGTGCTTAGCGTGTGTGTGCACTGCTGCTCTACTCACCTACTTTCCACCCAGCAAAGCCCACGGCGCGGTGGACTTGCAAGTTGTAAGGAACGCCGCGGAGCTACTGAGGAAGCAGCTCAAAGAAATCCTTTACGCCAAGACACACGGCCTTCTTAAGACGCAAAACTAAGCCGTTCTTCAGAGGGTGCTTCTGCGTATTACTTTCGCAAATTCTTTTCGTTTATTTAGCAGCGGAAATGCAAACTCTGGAGTGAGCCAATCCTTACGTTGCCATCGCTGTTATATTTGTGACTCAAAAAAATTTAGCGACAAGCAATAGGAATACATGCACACTGGGAAGTATTTTACTGAACAGGATAAGCTGGTTTTAAACTAGATGTAGCTATTCAATTTTTCTGTTATTAAACGTAGACTTGAAGATAACAGCGGTTAAAAGCAGCAGCCTAGACTCTAATCGCTACCAAAAGACAGGACCTTAAAAACATAAATAACAGATCTTTTGTTTTTTCCAAACCAGTTATTATTATGCCTTATTTCAAAAAGTGTGTAGTTGTTCAATCTTTAATGTTAGAATATTTACCCAGCTATTCTTTTTTGGCCTGTCCACAGCCACAGCTGGTTTCTCTTCTCAAGACAGCGTAACGGGTACGCTGGGGTACACACTCACATTGGTTTAGTTGTATTCATATTCAAACAATTTGCGTGGAAACTATTTTTCCCTTGATTCCACACCATCTCTTATTTATTAAAAAAAATTTTCAAGCGAACTGCTTCCGAATGTCACGTTGCTGCACAACATTCAAAACTGCATGTCTTGCTTTCCTGCAGTGCACGGAAATATTTTTGCAGTGTTTATTTCCAAATGCAAAAGAGTAGAGCAACAACTCAACTCAGACCTTTCCGAAATTATACATTCCCATTTCTGTATATATTTGCATGTTTTAATGTAAGATCACTTCAGATGGACGGATTAAAGACTGGATGTTATTTTAGCCTTTACCATTGACAAACGTTCATAAGGGAGTTACTAAAACACAAAGAAGTCTAATGTATGTGAAGCTGATATAGTACCGATGTATTTTTAATTACTAGTGTGCTGTGTGTGCTGTTTAGTAAGATTTCTGAAACGGTTAAATACAGAGATCGTATGCTCTTTTTATTGGCATACAGTCACTACCCATTGAAGTGCATTTGTGTCAAAAAAATAATTTTCATATTTACAGGAAGTGACAGAATTCCAGTTGTTGGCAGAGTATATAAAGCTTTTCATACACAATCTTTTTTAATATTAGACAGAGAATAGAAAATCTGAACTGAAAATCAAACTCAATGCATCTTGGAAACTGTATTCCTCCATAGCTTTTCTTAACCTTAATTCTGGTTTCTCTCTCAGAAGACATCCTTCTAAGACATCCGAACCGTTACGCTACCTGCTCTTCAGAAAATCCTCACTTTTACCAAGAGCCAATACTGTACTGAGGTCGGATGAACACATTGTTATTTATATCCATACCAATTCAAGTAAAAGTAGTGTGTTGCAAATTATGCCTCATATTGCTAATAGGTATAAGTGCTTACGCTGTGTAAAAGGACTTAATTTGGGGAGGGTGTGTACGTTATTTATAACTGATTAACTAATTATTTATCTGTAACAGTGTTTTGGTAAACATGCATGTATTCACCAGCCATTAGCTTGCTTAATAAACATATAGTTAAAATGTGATTCTTTGCACCGAAGCATTTACTTCTGCATCTAGTTTATGAAAAAACCAAACCAACCAACCAAACAAACATTGGCAAAAATGCTGCATAGCTAAATGCTAATTTTAGTTAAACGGATTATCTGTTCATGAAGACATGCTTTGCCAGTTGCCTGTACTAGTGGATTTTTTCTTAGAAGATACAGCCACTACAGAGATCTTACTTTGATCTTAAGCCTTTTATCTTCTTCACAACTGGTATCATACCAGACCTTCTAGGCACAGATCTCCAATCTTTGCCTGAATTAATGTTCTCCTGTAACGGTCACTGGCCTAGGGTTGTGTATTGTTGGCATTTTTTTTTTAAACTAGTATTATTTCACACTCTTCTTAGTGCGGGTCTATTTCATACTCTTCTTGCTAACAGCAAAAGTTCATTTCCTGAAGGAGGTAATCGGTGACCTCTCTCACTTTATGGTGCTATTAAAACCAAAAATTTAGTTACTGTCTAATCAATGCATTAGCTTTACAGGAATCACAATTCTCGTAACACTAAGAAAAATAACCAGCTTTAATGTTTACTAAACACTTAATGCATGTGCCAGGATGTAAAGTCAATCTATTGTCAGTTTTCTTATGTGTACTGAGTGCCATTTATAAATATATTCCATAAAAACATCTAAAATACTGAGTCTTGTTCCTGTAATATCCCTAACATCCAGAAAGTTCTCTGTGAAAACTGGGTGAGGAATAGAGTTCCAGAGCTTGACACTGTCACACAA